GCTAAACCAAAATTGGCGTTGTCCCATGCTCCCATCAAGATAACAGTGGAGCAGGGTAGTCAGGTTATAGGTGCAGTGAGCACAGCAAAGAAAACATTCAACAGATTAACAGGGAGAAGAAAAAATTGCAAACCATATATCTGATAAAGAACTAATCTCCATAATATAGGAGGAACTCCTACAACTCAATAGCAAAAAACAAAACAGAACAAAACAAGCTAATAACCCAATTTAAAATAGGCTGCTAAAGACTTGAAAGTTATTTCTCCAAAAAAAGACATATCAATGGTCAACAGTGTATGAAAAATGCTCAACATCCCTAATGATCAGAAAATGCAAATCAAAACCACAATGAGATATCACCTCATACCTGTCTGGATGGCTATCATTGATAAAACAAAGGACCACAGTGTTGACAGGGATGGGGGAAAATTGGAACCCTTGTGTGCTGTTGAGTGGGAGTGCAAAATTGGATAGCCACTATGGATAACAGTATAGTGGTTCCTGAAAAAAATTAAAAATAGAATTACCACATAATCCAGCAATCCCGTTTCTGGGTATTTATCTGAAAGAACTGAAGTCAGGATTTCAACAAGATATTAGCACCCCCATGTTTGCTGTAGCACTATTCGCAATAGCCAACGTGTGGAAACAATCTCAATGTCCTTCAGCAGATGAATGAGTAAAGAACATGTGGTTTATACATACAACAAAATACTATTCAGCCTTTAAAAAGAAGGAAAGTTTTCAATGTGTGACAATATGGATGAACCTCAAGAACATAATGCTAAGTGAAATAAGCCAGTTACACAAGAACAACACTGCATGATTCCACTTGCATGTGATAGCTAAAACAGTCACATTCATAGAATCAAAGAATGGATGGTGGTTCCCAGAGGCTGGATGAGAGAAGAAAGGAGGAATTATTCATCAATAGGCATAAAGTTTCAGTTAAGCAAGATGAGTAAGTTCTAGAGATCTACTGTACAACATTGTATCTATAGTCAGCAATACGTATTGTACACTTAAAATTTTGTTGAGAGGGTATTGTGTTCTTACCACAATAAATCCTTGTTAAGTGTTGATAATTTCCAAAGGGGGAGGTAAGTGTGAGACTATACAGTAGGCGAATTTTACCTACGTGAAGGCTCCATGGCTGAGGAAGTAACATTATCAGTGAAGGCATAGAGAGGAGTAAAAGTCAACCAGGCAAAGTGAGGGAGAAAGCACTAATGCCCTCACCCTCTGTGTAGGAGGAGTATCTCTGTTTTCCCTTCCCTCCCTCCCCCACTTTTGGTGTAAGTTGATTCAAACACTTTCAACCCAGAATCAGCAAAGTACTTAATACACAGATAGCTTCTGCTGACCTCCTCCCTTGAACATAATATATGGGCAAGCAGATAAGTCTGTTTTGTGAATTTGATGAACAGTGTTGAAGTGGCCTCATGGCTGCCAAAATGCTTCTGCTTCAAGGCCCCAGTGACTGAATTTCTGCCAGAGGTGGAGGCAGGAGTGGGAGCACTAGAAGTGCAGAGCCCATTCTATGACAGGTCTTAGCCTTGGACAGCATTCACAGTGTAGGCAGCTCCTTTGTGAAACACACACATTGTGGTCATCAGCATTGAACATGGTTGTTGGATTTTGTTTTATAGTCACAACATTTATCATTTTACTGAAAAGTGGGGGGGAACACCCTTTTTTGATGTTTATTTATTTTTGAGGGGGGGAATCCAAAGCATGCTCTGCTCTGACAGCAGAGAACTCAATGCAGGACCTGAACCCACAAACTGTGAGATCATGACCTTAGCTGAAGTCAGATGCTTCACCAAAGGAGCCACCCAGATGCCCTGGAAAATATCCTTTTTTGAAGCATAACAAACAGAGAAAAGTGTACTAATCCTACGTGTGTGTCTGTGATTTTTCACAAAGTGGATCCAGATATAGCACCCAGATCAAGGTAACATCCCAGAATCCCTCCCCCCAAATCCCCTTTTCTAGTTGTTGCCCACCAAGGGTAATATCCTAGAATCCCTCCCCAAAGGTCCCCTCTTTTGGTTATCGCCCACCAATGGTAACCACCATCCTGACTTTAACATCATAGATTCATTTTGTGTTTTGGACTTTATATAAATGAGAGCCCAATATGAGCTTTTGCTTTTGTACCTTTCTTTACTCAATTTTATGTTTGTGAGATTCATCCATGTTGCTTGTTGTTAAAGTTTATTCTCACTGTTCTGTGTTTTTGTATAAATATGTCATCATTTTTATCCACTCAGCTATCGATAGACATTTGAATTGTTTCCCATTAGACCTAATGCCTCTGTGAATGTTCTCATATATGTCTTTTGATGAACATATGCATGTTTGGAGGGGAGAGCTATGCTTGTATTAGTTGTCTATTGTTGCATAACAAATTTCTCTAAATCCTAGTGGCTCACAACAAAAATAAATGTTTATAATCTCTCACCATTTAATGAGTGAGGAATTTGGGAGCAGCTTGGAAAGGCAGTTCAAGGTCTCTCATGAGGTTGCAATCATCTGGAGGCTAGATTCAGTCCAGCAGGTCTGCAGACAAGGTAGCTCACTCATGTGCCTGGAAGTTCCTTTGCATGTGAACTTTCCTGAAGACTGTCTGACTGTCCTCATGACATGACAACTGACTTCCCCCAAAGTGAGCAAAGAGAGAGAGAGAGCCATATGTAAACTCTATTCTTTTTATGATTTAGCCTTGAAGGTCGTATAGCATCACTTCTGCTTAATCTTATTCATTACAAGTGAGCCAGTAAGTTCAGCCCAGACTCAAGGCTTCATCTTTAGAAGGAAGAGGCAGCAAAGAATGTGTGGATATATTTTAAAACACAACATTTTAAAGCTAGGAATTAAGCCAAACTAGAAATCTAAAAATAAGTTTATAGAAATTCACACGAGGACCTAAAAGAAATACATATTCAACCCAGCTTCTCTTCCATTCATTTAAAATCTTGCAAATGTTTATAGGAGAGTTTTCAAAGTATTCCCTGGAAACAGCATGGTACAATAGAATGGACAAAGACTTTGGAGCCAGACACACCCGAGTTTGAATCCTAGATTCACTACTTACTAATTGTGGGTTTGGGGCAAGTCAACCTCTTAGATTTTCAGAATTCCTCAATTATAAAATGGAATAAATCAGTAGAGCCCGTTTCATGTTGTTCTGGAGGTAATTAAATGAGATAATGGGTGTAAAGTGCCCACTATGCTGGTAGGTCCCTTCCATTTGTTCATTTATCAGGAAAGTACTAACCATGTACATTAACTATCTAGAAGGGGCTAAAATGAACACTGTGAGTGATACAAAACTGACACACAGTGCTTGCCTTCAAGAGGTATATACTCCAGGGGCGCCTGGGTGGCTCGGTCAGTTGAGTGTCTGACTTTGGCTAAGGTCATGATCTTGCAGTTGATGAGTGCAAGCCCCACATCAGGCTCTGTGCTGACAGCGTAGAGCCTGGAGCCTTCTTCGGATTCTCTCTCTCTCTCTCTCTCTCTCTCTCTCTCTCTGCCCACCCCCTGCTCATGCTCTGTCTCTCTCTGTCTCAAAAGTAAATAAACATCAAAAAAAATTTTTAAGAAGAGGTGTATACTCCAACAGGGCCCTTAACATTAAGGCAGAATAACTGTAATATAGTTAGGAAAATGACCAGTGTCTGGTGTGGGTATGGACACAATCCTTTAAACATGGATCAAATTTGGATACATAGAAATAAATGGAAGACATCTTAAAGGATGGACTATGAAAGGACAAAAAGTATTTCAAATTCAGAGTAACAGCTTGCATAAAGACAGAATTATAGAACCAGGGGCATGAGCTAAAAATAATGAAGTTGTTTGCTACATGCATGACATAAAAACAGGATAGATAAAAGAAGGTAGTGGAAGTAGGAGCTGGTGATGTAGTTATATATTAGAGTAGCAGAAAGAGATTAGGAGAGTGTGCACTCAGTTTTGCAGTCTGATGAAAAACATTAAGGCTAAAGATTTTTAAGCTGATTTTCAAGGCTAGCTACAAAAGCTGGGGGGGGGGGGGTGCTAGCTACTGAAGGATCTATGTGCCATGCTTTTCTTGGCTAACTCCTGTTTGTAGAATTTTCATGCCTCACATTGTAAATAGAACTTTCCAAAACTGATCATGAAAGAACACTTCCTACTCCAAGCCCAGGCAACTTAGCGTTTTCCTTATCATTCCCATTTTGGAGGCTGGATCAATAGGGAAATGGAATGGGATTGTTTTTATAGGCCCTCAGCTCACTGTAAATGTACTTCTCAAGACTTCGCCATTTGGAATGGCCAATTATGCGCTCAACTCCTCTATGTGTATTTGACTTCTACTTCCAGATAATGAGCCATTCTCTCCACTTATTTCCCCTCAAGAAGACTGATTTATTTAGCAAGCTTCATTTTTGTTACATTCTCCAGTCCTAAGTAGTGATGATATGTATACATAAGACAGAGACATTTCTATGCTGTGATGGAAGGTTGAAGGAAGCTGGAGCCAACGACCTTTTACTTTGAAGCCAAAGAAAAACAAGCACAAATTTTTCAGTCTTGCTAAGAATGGGAACTAGACAGATTAGCAGAAAGCCTTCTTCTAGACCTACTATTCAAGATGTAGTGCCCAAAGCCTTTCTCTGTTCAGACCTATGTCATATCTATCATACTCCCCCTTATTTTGATGAAGTTTGTATATTTTATCAAAATAGACATAGTTATAACCATTCTTGGTGATTTTATGGGCAAAAATGGATGTTCCATTTTATCACCCACTTTGTTTATTTTAAAAGCATCCTAGAGTATGTAGGAGAGGATGGGTTCTAGGCTTGGGATACAATTCTTAGCCAATCTTGTGCTGGAACTTCTCACATTCTCAGGTATGTATTTTTACTCTGTTAGCAACACTTGACATCATGATATTCTCTACACAGGTACTAAGGGTGTCCTGGTCCCCTCTGGTTTCTTCCCAGGTGGGAAATTGGCAAGTGGAGTCCATGCAGTCTCACCTGTGGGGTTGGCCTGCAGACCAGAGATGTCTTCTGCTCCCACCTACTTTCCAGAGAGATGAATGAGACTGTAATCCTGGCCGATGAGCTGTGTCGTCAGCCCAAGCCCAGCACGGTGCAAGCTTGTAACCGCTTCAACTGCCCCCCAGCCTGGTACCCTGCACAATGGCAGCCAGTGAGTTCTGGGGTTACTCAATTTTGGAGTTGGTGTGTACAGCTCTGATTCAGGACAGGGAACACTCTCTTCAAGGAGCTTTGTCCCATTAAGGGAATGTTCAAGGTCTGTTCCTCCTTCCCTTCTTAGTACTCCGTCAACTTTATTCAGATCAAGATATTTTCATCATAGTACTGTGCTCTTTCTATGGTTTCACACCAGTGTCATCCAACAGCATTTCAAGACCCATCTGTTAAACTGAGTATATTCACAACAAAGTTTTCACCACGCTAAGAAGAAAAATATTTTTTTATTTATTTTTTTATGTTTTATTTATTTCTGAGAGAGAGAGAGAGAGAGAGAGAGAATAAACAGGGGAGGGTCAGACAGAGAGGGAGATACAGAATCTGAAACAGGCTACAGGCTCTGAGCTAGCCATCAGCACAGAGCCCAACGCAGGGCTCGAACCCATGAACCATGAGATTATGACGTGAGCCGAAGTCAGACGCTTAACTGACTGAGCCACCCAGGCACCCCATGAAAGAATTTTTAAACAAGGACAATGTGGTAGGTTTTCCATAAAGCTAAATTTGTTCTGACTTTGTACCCTTTCTAGTTTTTTACTGTTTGAAATTCTAGGAGGTAAGTGTCCTAGGCAATGAATTTTCATGAGTTTATTTCTTTTAAATATTATTACTTACCAGGGCACCTGGTGGGTCAGTTGGTTAAGTGTTTCGCTCTTGATTTCAGTTCAGGTCATGATCTCATGGTTCGTGAATTTCAGCCTTGGATTGGGCTCTGCACTGAGAGTGCGGAGCCTGCTTGGAATTCTGTCTCCCTCTCTCTCTGCCCCTCCCCCACTCATGCTTTCTGTCTCTCAAAATATATAAACTTTAAAAAAAAGTAATTACTTTCCAAAATAAAAGATTAGAAATCAAGTCAATTCCAGACTTTTAAAAATTTCCCAAAGCTCTAAGAACTATTGTTTTAAAGCAGCGGTTAGCAAACTACAGTCCAAAGCCAAGGCTATCTCATAGCCAGTTATTATAAATAAAGTTGTATTGGAAAACAGCCATGCCCATTTTTTTAATGTATTGTCAATGACTGCACTGGAAGGGCAGAACTACATGGTCGTGACAGAGACCATTTAGCCCACAGCACCTAAAGTATTCACTGTCCTTTACAGAAAAACTTGGCTAACCCCACTCTAAAGCATACATTATAATAATACAAATACCATAATATTCTATTGAAAACAAATATATACTTATCAAGTTTTTGTTGAATAATTTATTGCATGCCTTTAAAACAGAGAGGAATTAGGTTATTTGGACAGAATCTTATTTTGCATTTCTTCTTCATGGGGATATCAGGTGTATCTTTCAAGTGACAACAATGGTCACAAAAAGTAAGCCTGAATGGTGAGGGGGACAGGCATCCCAGTTTTGCTAAAATAGTTTTCCCTCTCTAAAGTGTCACAATTAAAATGATAAATTATATAGTTATCCAACTAAGGAGAGAGTATAGTAGCTTATGTACCCTTGCCTCAGTGCTGAGAGAGATACCATCCCTAGACTGCCATGCATTCCCATGCTTTTTCACTACCATTTAGCAGCAAAACTCTAAAATATAAAGCATCTGGGAAAAGATATTGACTGACTACTTCCTTTTACACCTTAGCTCATAAATACCATGATTCTATGTGATGGCTTGTGGAAGTCAAGAGGGTGATACATATATTTTTTTTGAATGCCTATGTACCAGTGTTCTGTTAAGAAGTATTATTACACACCTAACTGAAGTTAATCTTCACAACAATCAGTGAAAAGTAGGTTTTATTATCTTCGTTTTAGGTTAGAGAAAACTGGGCTCATAGTGGTAGCAATTTAGGGTTGGCCATCAACCCAGTTCTCTGTGATCCTTTCCACTACACCCCATTGTTGGAGACTACTATGGCTGAAATAGCAATCAGGGATTATCGAGGAGTCTCCTTGTTTTACACGTTAGGTAACTGTGGCCTAAATATGGTCTTGCCCGAGAGCATAAAGCCTGGTGCAGACCCCACATCTCCTGATTCCAGTATTTTTATACTGGTTAGCTTTAACTAGAATGAATCCATGACCTCAAACTGCAACACAAACTAATGCCAACCCTAAGACAAGACGAGGAATCAACCCAAGTCAACCTCCACTACTCTACTAAGTCCCCATATTATTAACTTACGTCTCTGTTAGGTACATAGTTCTGGAAAAAATATTTATCAAATGAAAACATGAATGACTGGATCAAGAATACTGCCCCACATACCTAATAATGCTGACCTTATATCTTAGTGATTTTTTTTATGGTTATAGGTGCTAATAATGAAACACCAACCTCTTTTTAATAGCCACACATGCTGCAAAATAATGGCAGTGGCCTATGATTTTTTTTCTTCAGTTTTCAGAGCTCTTCCATATACATAATTTTTTTTTTATTTACTGCCACCGCCACCACCCCCATGCCCAGTGTCCCCATTTAATACAGTGGATTTCCAAAAAATTATATTATTCTTCCATTTCCATCTCCTAGGCCTGTTAAGGCACAAATTTATTTTTCTACTTTTTCTACTTCCTTCCATTAGGGAGGAGCTTTTGGGCTTGAGTCAGGTTTAAGTCCTTTTTTCAGGAAACTAATAGTACACAGCTCTTTGAAGTTCATTCAAGGAGCTACTGACTACACTTCATTAAGGCCTTTAAAACATTTCTTCTTTATACCTAATACATAGTAATTGTGAAATCTCTTCAAACATAAGAAATAAAGAACATAGAAAGTGACACCCACCAGGGATTCTTTCCTCTAGAGAAAACCCCTGATAGTCATGTGGTGCATAGGGTCTGTTTTAAAAATCCTTGATCAGTTTTAGGAATCTTTCTAAACCAAGAGGAAACAATAGACTATTCTTCGTATAGGATTTCCTAGAATACTCTGTCTTTAGGTAAGCTTTGTTAGATAAAATCAGCTAATATTGACCACTTGTTAAAGGAAAGGAAGTCATTGTTTATGCCATATGGTAGAATAAGGCAAAAGTAACTTGGGGGGTCTCCAAGCCAATTGGCTGTTGGCATAGGACACCAATTAGTTAAGACACTAGCTGTTGACCACCCATTTGCCTGGTTAGACCTCTGGTTCCTTGGTAGTTCTTTTTTAGACAAGGGGACCTGCCATGTACTCATATGGTCTTTTCTATTTGGATCTACTAGAGGACAGTGCTGAAGTCTCTAATCCTTCAACACCCAGCTTATAGTCTTTCTCCATATGAAAGAAAAACAGATGGAGTATCCAGCGCTTCATTCAAAGGAAGACATAATGACTTGATGAACGTTGGCCTTTCTGGGGAGAAACACTGTCCCTTGAAGAAAGAAACTCCTTCTCTTTGCACTGGGCTACCACTGACTTCATGCGTATGCTTTTCTTCCTGGAAAAAAAATGACATGAATAGTAATTTTCCAGATAAAAATGTAACCTCCTTTGTCTTCTGTAGGGCATTTGGCTGACAAATGGCACGTAGCCAATATTGACACATTCTGCAGGTCTGGAGAGGGCTAGTATGCAGTCTGGGTTATATATGTTAAATTTTTCATTTTCTAAACAATTACAAATGAAACAAAACTCTAACTCTAGATTTGGCTTAGGGGGTCTTCCTTATTTTAGTTCTCCCACTTCATACTTAACCCTTTGGTTTTTACCTCTGGTCTTTCGTGAACGATTCATTTCTCTTTATCAGTTTGTTGGCTTGTGTTTAGTTGGCTTTGGAAACACATATTTAGTGCATACCCATCCTAAATCTTCTCTATTTTTTAAACACGTTCATCATCATCATCATCTCTGGTGTTAGCTATGTTACTTTTTTTTTTTTCAATTGTTTAAAATGTTTTATTTATTTCTGAGAGAGAGACAGCATGAGCAGGGGAGGGTCAGAGAGAGAGGGAGATACAGAATCTGAAGCAGGCTCCAGGCTCTGAGCTCGCTGTTAGCATAGAGCCCAATGCGGGGCTTGAACCCACAATCCATGAGATCATGACCTGAGCCGAAGTCAGATGCTCAACTGACTGAGCCATCCAGGTGCCCCTGGCTATGTTACTTTGTACCCACCTCACAAGGAATTATATCACACTGGTGGGCTATGGTACCATGATTGAGAATCACTGCTCTATATGCCATCAATCAATCTGAGACACTTTGATCATGAAAGTCTTCTGCTAGGAATTTCTTCAGTGACATTCCATTGCCATATAGAGAAGCCAAATGGTTTGGTCAGGCCTTCATCCCCTGCACATCTGCTACTGCCCACCTCCCACCGTGCTTCTCCCACCCCTGCTTGCACATTCCTAATTGCCCATGCTTCTTCCCACCCCCATGCAGTTCCCCTCCCCTCTGTCAGATTAGGCAGGAGTCCCACCTCTTCTACCAGGACCCCTCTGCTATCTTCCTACATATGGTGTTTATGGTCAGTGCTGCTCATTGAACAGTCACAGTCCACCTTACTGTCTGAGCACTTTCCTGTGACTTCTGGGTTAGACCATAAGGCCAATGAGACAGAGACTACATCTCAGGTAGGTAAAGCATGGAGCATGGTGCTGAAAGATTCCATGGCAAGTCTGCCCAGTCCATCACTTGCCCCATTTCAGGATCTTCCTCTCTTTTTAATAAGAGCAGCACTTACTATGTTTCGAGCAAAGTTCGAGGCACTTTATGTATTTGATTCATTTAATCCTCACTACCCTATGTGATTGTTACCACTGTCCTCCCATTCTGCAGTTGAGGGACATAGAACACTATGAAGTTACCACGAATTCAAACTTCATGTAGCAGAACTCTTTCTTCTGTTCTCCCATTTTCTCTTTTAATCCACTCACAGCAATCCTGCAAGGGAACAAGGCTCAGAGAGGGTGTCCTTGCCCCAGTTAACATAGCCAATAAATAGCAAAGGGGGCCTGTATGCTTCAAAGCCTTTCTCTTTTCCACTGTGCAGTTCAGCT